GGACCCCTTTCTGGACATTGCGCAAGTGCGAGCGCGGACACACTGTTAATAAAAAAACTTAGGCGTGCTAATCGATGGCCAAATCAATCACCATCACAGGTACTACACAAGTCGAGTGAATCATCAGTTTATACAGTTGCAAAATCCACTAATCAACAATGCCAATTCATCCTTTTTTCTTAGAACAATGCCAAAGCTATTTGATATGACAATACCACCCTTGTTTTAAAAGAGTGAAATGCATTGTAGGTCCCTAAACTATTTTAGGGGCGTTATGTACGTCCTCAAACTATGAAAATCGGCATTCAGGTCCTCGAAGTGCAGCAAGCATTTAAAAATCGACCCCACCTGACCGGCCAGTTGGCGCTGTTGACCCGTGACACGTCGGACAAGGGGCTGTAAGGTAACGTCCGGTGACTGAAATATGCAAAGAAATTCAAATTCATGATTTCAAATAATGTTCTTGAATATGAAAAAATGTTCATGACTTTAGAAGATGTTCATTAGTTTATAAAAATGTTTGTATATATGAGAAAATGTTCGTGACTTTAAAAAAGTGTTGGCAAACGATGAATTTGAAAAAAAACTTTGCGAATGATGAATTTAGAAAAAAAAATGTTCGTGATTTCAAGAAAATGTTTGCGAATGATAAATTTTATTGGAACAGAAAATATGTTAATGAACGATAAATTCGAAAGTATGTTCGCGAATGCGAAATGAATGTTCGCAAATTCTAAAAAGTATTCTCGAACAATAAATTTGAAAATATCTTTGCGAACTACAAATATTGTTCACGGCTTTAAAAAATGTTCACCAGCGATGAATTTGAAAAAATAAATCAGAAACAATGAATTTGGAAAAAATATCCATGATTTAAAAAAATGTTTGCAAACGATAAATTTTAAAAGAACATAAAATATGTGCGCTAACCACCAATATTGTTCGTGAACAATAAATTTGAAAGTATGTTCACGAAACACAAAAAATGTTCGCGGATATGGAAAAGATGTCCGTCAATGATGAATTTGATTTTTTTACATAAATTTAATAAATGTTTATTATTTTCTAAAAGAGTTAGAAATTTTTATATTTTTTTCCTGGTTTGAAATTGTTGACAGATTTACAAAAAATGTTCGGGGTTAAAAAAATGTTCATGAATTTGATAATATGTTTATGACTTTATGAAATGTTCATTAATTTAAATGTTCAAGGTTTCAAAAAATGTTCATGAATAGTAAAAAATGTTCACAACTTTAAAATATTGCTATCATTTTCAAATGTATCAATCATGAATTTAAATGTTCATTAATTTAGGGTTCGCGAACACATTGTCAAATTTAATGTTTGCAACACTTTTTTAAAGTCGCGAACATTTTTTCCATATATGCTAACATTTTTTGAAACCATGAATTTGAGTTTATTTTGAGTGAAGTGCATTTATCATTCCTTGGAATTTATTTGCATATTTCAGTCACTGGCCGTTACCTTGCGCCCCCCTGTTCGGCGTGTCATGAGTCAACGGCGCTAGCTGACCAGTCAGGCGGGATCGGACAATTTTTGGACCTGAATGACACATTTACTACATTCCGAAAATCTAAATGTCGATTTTCATAGCTTGAGGACCTACATGACACCCCTAAAACAGTTTAGAGACCTACGATGCACTTCATTCCATTAAAATATAAGACGTTTTGTTAGGCCATTTTAGCCTACCAAAACGTTTTATATTTTGCGACGGAGGCAGTAGAAGCTTGTAGATGGAGAAGCCCAAAGCAAGACAACAGCCAATTCCAAATCAGAGTTCAGCAAAGACCAGCGGGCCCACATGCAGCGCCACAGAGGTCACGGCCGCGTGTATATAACGCCCAGACACGGCTACGGCCAGGTAGAACCAACCGTAGAGGCGGGGCCAGTTTTGCTTCCGTTTTGCTTAGCACCCAGGGCC